GGGTGTTAGGTGCGTATTTTGCCGTATTCATAGCAAGGAGCCCCAAAGAATACCATTGGTTATCATTTTGGCCTCCAATTCAATTCCTCCACCCCAAACCTTGAAGATGCGAGCCAAGATGCTTCTCCCATTGGTCGAAGTTGTCCGTCAGCGGATCATCTTTACCCTGCATTACTGCCCAGACCCCTTTTGCAGGATCTATAGAACGTAGATCCCCTAATTTGGGGCCCTATACTACGGTACATGGACCCTCAGGGGAAGCCAGAAGTTGGAACACGGGCTTTAGGAGGATTAGTGGTAGGATCCCTTATACTCATACTCTGTACCTTAGGGGCATGATACGATGATGATGTTCCAGCTTTTCTGGCTTCTAATGTATTGTTTTTGTGTTTTTTGAGGGGAGGAGTTGGGGTTTAGGGTTTAGGGCTTCCCGGTCGCAGTTCAAGGCACGATACCATGCGATCTTGATGTCTTTGCTACAGACCCATATCAAACTAAACCCTAAACTAAGGGTACTTTATAGGAACCCCCATTAAAGGATCTACTTGTTGTATCCTCTCGGGGGTCTGGGTGTAGCGCATAGGGTTAAATCCTACAACCTAAACCTCACGCATAGGGTTTAGGGTTTAGGGATTGGGTATATAATTTCAGGTGTCGGGTACAAAGTAGGGCCACAAGTACACTGCAGAAAGGTGCAAGAAAGTAACTGTGGCCATGAGGGGGTGCTGGCAGATGATTTTGCCAGCTAGTCGACCCTGCATAAGTGCCAGGGCTAGCCACTGTCATGGAAGAGTCCCACGAATTGCGATGGCTCCCACACGACATTTAGCTTCGGGTCGCAAGACTCACGAACTAGGTAATTACAATAAAGTGGCCCGCAGCTGCCTATACAGGTTTGCATGAATTGCCTGTTGGTTTACCCAAGACCCCACAAGGTATATTCCACAAACTACCGGAGTCCAAACAACACGGGACCACCACGGAAATCTCTTAAACCCAAAACCCTAAAGCCCATATAAGCCCTACCTGGACCCTAAGGAACCTACCTTTTTAGGGTTCCCTGAAATGATTTCTTTATATAAGTCCTTAAAAAGGTAGGTTACGTGGGGTTAAGGTGAGGATACTTGTGCGACAGAGAGTTGCCAAATCGCCTGGTCCTCCGAGAAGAACCCATAAGCCCGAAAAACAAGCCTAAACCCAACACCCGCCCGAAACCACCCTTAAACAGGACCCTAATACAGAACCCTATACAAAGGGGACCCTAATGCAGAACCCTATACTACCCCTTGAAGGAGACCCTAATATAAAACCAACTACTATTCTGTTACATGGCAGCCTAAAAAGAACCCTACACCATCCCTTTAACGGAACCCTAATATAGAATCCTATGCTACCCCTTAAAGGGGTAAAGGGGACCCCAATATAGAACCCAACACTTCCCCTTGAAGGGGACCCTAGTACAAAATCATATACTACCCCTTAAAGGGTACCCTAATACAGAACCCTACACCAGCCCTGAAAGGGGACCCGATTTCAGAAGCCTAGACTACCCCTTAAAGGGACCATAGTATAACACCCTATACTACACCTTGAAGAAGACCCGAATATAGAACCCTACACGACACTGCCCCTTAAAAGGGACCCTATTCTCAAACCCTATAACCCCGCAAAGGCCCTTCTACTAAAATCCTCTGTCCAGGGCCTGCTCTGCAATGTCCTGCATTGTGTACGTCATGCTGTCTGCCTCCACATCCTCCCGCACTGCGACCACTTCAAGGGTTTGGGGCTAGTGGGCTCGGTTGTTGTGGGACTTTGGGGGGGGGGGTTACGCCTTAGAGTGTGAAGTTGCAGTTAGCACGGAACCTGACAACGAAAACGTTTATTCCGAATAAACGCCCGAAATGGGGTACATTACAGGCTCTAGCAAGGCCCGATACTTGAGGTCATGATCAGGGTTTTGCATTGGGTATACGGTTTACGGAGTTGGGATTCTGCCGTCGTTTCGGAGGAGCCGAAGAGAGCTGTGAGAACGCTCTTGCTGCACGCCCTAAAGGGGTAAGCCTTCCAGGCTGGAAGCCAAAACAAGGGGGCTTCAGCAAAAAGAGCAGGGATGTGTAAAGTAATGTATAGTACAGTGCATGCATATGAAGGACTGTACATTTGTTCGGATGCCGACATCAAACCCCCAGAAAGCCAAACCCTTAGCGGAACGATGCGTAAATCCTGCCGTCCTCTGGAGGAAGGGTTTCACCTGCAGCTTGACAAGACAAACGCGGCCCCGACTGCCAGAGACATCTCGTGCAGGATCTCTAATGTTTGCAGCTTCAAACACCCAGCTAGCTTTGCACTGGAAGATTTCCGCCCCGCCCTGGCAGTCAGTTCGGAGGCGGCAAGCATGACAAATTGTAAGAAGTGGTTTAGCCTGGTTTGGGCGTATACAGCACTGCAGAAAAGCAGGGTCTCCGGGCACGATGCTGCCCTTCGGCCGTTCATGACCCCAGACCCGAAACATCTAGAAGATAAGCTGGACAGCCGTTCAGGCCTTTTCAGTTGCAACAGATGGCTCGTTCCGCACTTCCGCACTATGCTTTTCAGTCTTAAACAGCAGCAAACCATAAGACCAAGAGGTTGAAAAACATGGAACTTCGCTTGGAACTGCTGTCCGCCGGCTCTTATCCAATGCATAAACGCAGCAATAGAACATGTTCTGCGAGAAAGACGAAATCCTCACAGAAATCCTCCGAAAATCCCTGCACACCACCTGTTAGCAACTCTAGCAATCCGCATCATGGTCCCTATCTTAACCCACCAAACCCTACTTATTCTGCTTGTTGTAGGGTCCCTAGCCCGACGAGAACTAACACTGGTTTGAGACACGAAACATAGCCGGCACATAGATCCGGCTTAGAACAGCCAACCTCCACTGGCTTCGAAGCCGAAAAACAAAACCTTACCTGTCCCCAACTTAGCTTCATCAGGAGGAAATGCTTAGCGACTGTGGTGTTGCAAGGCATGGCCTTGAGGCCTTCAGCCCTTCGCTCGGAGGTATCTCGGAAGACACACTGCCTTCGGCATCGCTGCAACCCTTCCACAGCTTAGCAGGGAAAAGGCCAAAAGCACGACTTTTTCGGCTGTTGCTCCGTCTTTCTGAACTTCTTTCCCCAGCTATGGTTTCCCCTACATCCCTTACTCCCCCAATATAAGCCACAGAAATAGAAGGTTAAACTTGCCGATTCCTACTAAACTATAAGAAACCAAAAAGTTTACAGGTTGGGTATTGGGGATCTTAGATCCCAAGCCCTAGGCTTCTTGATTGAAACAGCTGAGCTCTTGGCCCACCGACCGGCGAACCAGACGCCGGAGCCGGCGCACCTCGTTCCTGTCCAGGCCCCAACCTCGATAAAGGCAGATTTGGTTGCGGCTGACGGCTTACGGTTGGGGGCACCTGAACCCTAAACCCTAAACCCTTTTAGAAGGCTGAGTGATGAAGAACAGAAGGATCGTTGAGTCCCCGCAGATCGCTATACAAGGTTAGAGTTTGGGGGTTCGGTGTGTGAGGCTCAGGGCTAAACAAGTCAGTATCCTCAGGGTCCATGTACCCAAATAGTCCTAAAGTGCCTATATAGGTACATTGGGGCCCAAGTATATACTATTTGGCTACATGGACCCTAAAGGAGTACAATGGAGTACATATTCAGACCATATGCCATGCATACGAAACTCGTGCTATGTAAACGAAATATAATGATTCTTCGCTAATGAACCTGCAAATCGAAGATTGTGTTAGTGCATAGCTACTACATCTTGCGTGATTATCTAAACCCATATTACAGCCACCCATCAATTTCCAGATTCATCAGTGTTGATCATTCAATCTGGTGCAAAGAAAATAATACTCAAACAACGCTTGAAAACCACTCAAGTGCTACGTGCACATTAATTCGCATGAAAACAGTTCTGCGCAAGTAGCTTATGTGCTGTAGATGAACACTTCTTGGATATGCATTAGATGAAAAGCTGTATGTTTGCGCACTGCCCACTATAGTCTACCTAGACATGGGCTGGGTGCCGCTCATGCGCTAGCCAAACATCAACGAACAACTTTTACATATCGATTAGTCTTGAATAACATGAACAGATAACAAGATGTTTACGAATGTTACTTGGATACTGTAAATATTCAACAAGATTTGGACCTGAAGACAACACAGTTTCCACAACCTGGTTATCTCAACAATTCAGAAAGCTCCAGAATGCTCCAATCGTTTCCAAAAAGTGTATTTATGAGCCTCTCTGTTGTACATGTTCGTGTCATGTTGTCAGCTCTCATGAACCTGTGTGCTATGCACAACAGTAGTGTGCTACAGTACAGCTCCGGAAGATGTCCAGTGAGTGGGGCACTAACTCATGACGGAAGTATTCAGAGTTTAGTATAGGGTTTCCCTAAACCCTAAACCCTAAACCCTATACCCTAAACCCTAAACCCTAAACCCTAAACCCTAAACCCTAAACCCTAAACCCTAAACCCTATACCCTAAACCCTAAACCCTAAACCCTAAACCCTATACCCGAAGGGCAGCTGGGCGATCTTTGTAAGCCCATGGCTTAGCTCTTTCATGTGGGTGGTTGTCATAGGGTCCCGCTTTGGGTCCTTAATATAATACGGCACCTAATATGTAGGGTAGGGTTTAGGGTTTATTAGGGTCTAGGGTTTAGGGTTTAGGATTTAGGGTTTAGGATTTAGGGTTAAGGGTTAAGGGTTAAGGGTTTAGGATTTAGGATTTAGGATTTATGCCCAAAAAAGGGACCATAATTTTGACAACCACCCATGTAGCAAAAGTGACGCTGTACATAGCCGCCCTGCTCTGAAGCGGCATGGGAGTTTCGGAAAACTGGGTACCCTGATATAATACCCTAAATAGTAGGATCCCTACTCTAAGGACCCCAAAACAGGGTAATTACCCCCTGATTTTCGGAAACTCCCGCATGTACAAAGAGCTTCAAGCAGAGCTGGCTGCGATGGGCAGGCAGGCTCCGAAGCGCTGTGCCAGGGGCTTGGAGGCCTTGAAGGAGCTCGCGCGCCTCCGAAAGCGACAGTCAGAGAGCCTAAACCCCTAAACCTCTAAACCTCTAAGCCCCTAAGCCCCTAAACCCTGAACCCTAAACCCCTAAACCCTGAAGCCTAAACCCCTAAACCCTAAATCCTAAACCCCTAAACCCTAAACCCCTAAACCCTGAACCCTAAAACCCCTCTAACCCCCAAACCCAAGAGAGGCGCCTCCGCAGGCGACTGGAGCTCGAAGTGAAAGAAACCTCGGAGGCCACGAAAGATCCCAGGCTCAGGTTCTCGTCATCCTCTGCGGCCGTAGCTGCTTCTGACCTCCCAGAGACTCAAATATCCCTTAATTACGGAATATATGCCTTAAATTGTACTAGGATCCCTAATATGATTTAAAGCATATTCTTCAATTAAAGATTCACGGATTTTGGAGTCTCTGACCTTGCTTCTGAAATAGCCAAGCAGAAATCATAATAAGGAACCCCCCAAAATTAATAGTATTGGCTATTATTTAGGCCCTTTTAGTTAGATTTCTCTAAGGATGCGACATCAGAAAAGACGTAGCAAAAGCTCGTTCTTCGGAGCACAGTGACACGCTCTCTGCACAGGACGGCTCCTCGGATTCCTTCACTTGGCAGCGGATGGCCATCAGCACGACGCTGCAAAGCATGCAAAAGGCGCCGACAAGTTTCAGGGGTTTGGGGGCATTGTGGAACAGGACCGTCTGCGCCAAATAGCCTGAGTTGCTCAGTTTATAAGCCAACCAATCTGAAATCTTTCGGGTCTGAAGGGGGTCACGCAATCCCCAGAAGTGTGCAGATAAACACGGCAGCAAACTACTATTCATGAAGCCCTAAACCCCACAACACGCTCATGAAAGGCGCATCAACACCAAAAACCAGAAAGTCCTTAAAAAGGCCGTCCAGCAACCGGTGATCATGCTTGCCGACGTGAAGACGGTCGCGCTGACCGCTGCCGGACATCTTGTCGCCCCTGCCGCGGGAAGCCTCGGGGAACTGATCCTAATACAGGGGCCTTGAAATAGTTAGAATAGGACGAATAAGGTTTTGAGGTGAAGGACCCTAAGAAATAGAACATATATGATAATTTAGCATACTATAGCGCCGAGGAGCCCTCAGGGATAATATAGGTGGTTATTGACGCTGCCATATTAGGTGTTTAGACCGGGTACGCCCTGACAAGGCTTTTGGATTTAGGGTTTAGGGTGCTGCTAGGGTCTTATGTAAGAGTTTTGCAATGGTCTGAGTTCAGGGCTGGCGCACTACTGCCTTTGTACCACGACGCGGGTTTCAGGGCGGTGGTGACTTACTGCGAGGCTTAAACACTTCTGGGGAGTTTTCAGGATTTGAACTTGCATAGGGTCACCATCAGGAAAGCATATAATTTACACTGTATAAACCTATTGAAGCAACTTGAATTAGGCTCCATACCCTCTCAAAACCCCCTGAGCAAGCCTCTGTAAATCAAAGACCCTGGTAGCACCGCTGTAGCAACTTATGAAACCTTTCTAGACCCTGATAAACCACTACAAACCCTTTCAACGCCCTCATACAACCGTTCAACTAGCTTATATACACCAATAAAGCCGTTGTGCAACCCGCAACTAAATCCTGTTAAAGCCCTAAACCCTACAGATTACACTCTAAACGATGTCCGAAACCTTAAACCGACTTAAACCCTTTACCCTAAACACCGCAGCCAACACCCTAAACTGTGCAATCCCGAATACACTGAATTTTCAACCCAGAAGCAAGATCGAGATGGAGATCCAGACAGTCAGAGTAAGGAGAAGCCCAATAGCTTGCCACGGTCTTTCCACCACAACCCCGAAGGAGCTGTGTTCATGCCTGGGAATGTTTTACAGACGGTTTGGGGTCGTTAGGTTCAGGATTTCGGCCCAACAAAACGCCTCATGTCAAGGAAGGTGTGATGTTTTTTGTTCGTGTTGTTGAGGGCTTAGGTCCCAAAGGAGTTGAGATCTTGCATATGGGTAGTCCTCTAAATTAGGGTCTCTGCTTTTGGATCCCCCATATAGTACGGGACCCTTAGAAAAGGACCCTAACCGGGAACCCTAGATTGGGGAACTACCCATATAGTGGATTGCTTGATCGGCGTGTAAAACGATTTCATGGCGTGCGCTACGGGGTTTGCAGGATTCTTTACATGCGGGTGGTCCCTTTTTGGGTCCTTAATATAATACGGCACCTATTATTTAGGGCACCCACAAAGGGACCAAAATTTTGACAACCACCCACATGTGTTATATAGGGTGTTAGAAACCCAAGCCTGGATCTTGGTCGCCGAAGGGCCTCATGACTTTCTGGGTTCCTGCAAGGATTGCTACAAGTCCATGAGGCTTCTTCGGGATATAGGGGCCATATAATTCGAATAGGGCGTTGGGTACGTTTCACAGTTTGACCACAATGAGGAACCCTGAGTAATACTGCTGGTACTTATTGTTGTTGAAGCTTCTATGCTACAGTCTTGGGGGGCTGGGGTACGACAGTCAAGATATGATAGAAAGACACGCACATTGCTCGTATAGTAACCCCGCTGGGCTGTTCTTGGAGGCCCCTCCAGCACACCATCCACGACTACAAAAATGCATATACTATCCCAGGATTAACAAGACTTGCTCTCCTAATAAAAGACATGTGCCCCCGCTAAAATAACAAAACACCAAACCGGAAACTCCATTCACAGATATACCAAGAAGGGTCCAGACGCTGGAAGAGGGGAACCAGCAAGGCTGCTGGCACCGACAAGAGCAGCGAAACCAGCGAGAGTAGCGACACGGGGATGTGGGCCGACTTCCGCGCACAAACCTGGGTTCTATAGGGGCATTGTATGGGTCTTGTAAGGAATTGCCAGGAAGATGCTGGAATAGTTTGCGAAGGAATCTCAAAATCAGCTATCATGCGAGGGGTATATAGTACAGAATATGCATTCCTGACTGTAGTAACATGAGAATCACGTTTAGGGTTTAGGGTTTAAGGGTTTAAAGGTTTAGGGGTTTAGGGGTTTAGGGTTTCCAGAAGAAGAGCCCAGGAACAAAAGAGCAGGCCTGAAAGCAGCCGGAGAGGAGGGCAATGCAGTAGCCTGCGGGAGACTCACCGGCTCCCTCGATGTTTCCGAAGAGAAACTGCGGCTGTGAGATGCAGAGTGCCTTCGATCCCAAGTCAACCGTGAGCCCTAAACCCTAAATCATAAGAATAAACCCTAAACCATATATAAGTCATAAGCATAAATAAACCCTAAACCATATAAAAATCATAAGAATATCGTTTTCACTAGTTTTCAACTTTGAAGAAGGAGACCAAAAAACTTCAGAAAGAAGAAAGCGTATACTACTGGGTGACCAAGATACTCCGGCAACTGACAGGATCAAGGCACAGAGATGGAGAATGCTGACCCTTTCTCCCAGGAAGACTAAGCCCAATAGTGCTGCTGCAATGATATCAATGCTGGTAAGCGCAGCCACATCGCCTGGGGCTGCTCCAACAATGACTGAGAGCATGGCGCCAATCCAGTGGAAGTTTTCGAAGACGGCTCGTGCCAGTACCCACTTGATGTCCTTTCGCTGGGGGCACGCGATGCCCTGCCACCACACATGCAGCGCATTCACTACGCCGGCCATCAAGCAGCAGGATGCCAAGACATACCAATATGGCCACTGCATTTCTTGAATCATCTTGCTGATGGCCATCTGAGAGGTCACCGAAACTCCGGAAGCCAGCATCAGTAATATCCCGATCACTTCCGTGGAGCACTTCATGGCTCGAAAGCTTCTCCCACGCCTGCTTGACTGGCTCTACCTGCCCTGCTGAGCCCAAGCAAATATCTTCAGCCAGACGTCTCCTCGAGGTTTCGTACTGATGCGCGTCTCAACTGGGCTTACAACCCACCCAAAAGACCGCACACCGGACTAGTAGCCCTACTGGAAGCCTAGAAAGTAAACCCTGCCTACATTAAACGCTTTTCACGAAACACGAAGCCCCATATGCCCAAACCGTAAATCCAAATCCGAATCTAAACCCACACCAGACACTGAAAATTCTAAAACCACAACGCTACACAGGAACCCTCAAATCCCGAAATCCCCCTCACCAAAAGACACCCTGAAAAACTGCTACTTGGCATGGCACAGACTGCGCAGCCAAAGCCGAAGAAGAAGCAGAGTCGGCCGTCCTCAGGGGCCCAGACAGTAAGGGGCTTGTAAGGCTTTTAGGGTCTAGGTCTTAGGTTCATGGCTTAGGCGTTTAGGGTTTGGGATTTAGGGCCCTTTGGGATTCAGATGGAGGGTTCGGAGTGCCTGGGACTCAGGGGACTTATCCCTCAAAATGTACCGCTGATCATGGCTTCTACAACTTATAGGGTTTAGGGTTTAGGGTGCACGGTTCCAAGAAGCTTTCTCAAAGCTTTTGTACAAGGAATATCCCGTAAGATATTATCGACGGATGACGACGGATCCCTTTGCTGTTTTAAGGTAGCTTGCTAAATACCTTTGGTCAAGGTGCGACAAGCAATCCCACGGAGAGTCTGAGAAATTCCATTGCAAAACCCCTGCACCCTAAACCCGAAAACCTACACCCTAAAACCCTAAAACCCGAAACCCTAAACTCTAAACCCCATACCCTAAACTCTAAACCGGCCATCAGGTTGGTATAAAAGGGTGAGGCATTTATCGGTTCCTATGATGCCTTTGAAGGGTACTTCAGGGGCTCCTTTAAGGGATCTATAGGGGGCTTGGGGCTTAGGGTTTAGGAGCCTAAAGAGCAACCTAGGAATCGAAAGGGCTCCCTTTCTGGTATTGGGTAAGATTATAAGGAACCTAGGACTACAAAAAGGGACTAAGGGTACTACTGGGCATCCTAGCTAAGCCCTAAACCCTAAGCCGTAAACCCTAAACCCGAAGCCCTAAACCCTAAGCCCCAAACCCTAAGCCGTAAACCCTCAACCCGAAGCCCTAAACCCTAAACCCTAAGCCCTAAACCCAAAGGTTCTTTTTCAAAAGTTAGAGGCTCCGGGGGCCCAGGATCCAAACTGCTACATGCAGTGGGGCGACGCGAACCCTAAAGCATCCCAAAACCGAAATCCTGAACCCTAAAACTTGAACACTAAAGAACTCGTGTGGCTCGTAGGGCCTTCCCTGTCTCGTGCTTTCCCAGCCTTCGAACAACATGCTGGGCTATACATTCCTGGCCATACGAACCCCAAAAACACAGCCCGAACTACCAACCAAAACCGATGGACAGCTCGCGCAACCCCATACAGTAAACCCCATAAAGTTGGAAACCGGAGTAGGGCCAAATAGTGCTGGGATTGCCTATATTGCTCTTAAGGGTTGCGGCTACGAGGTTTCCAACTTTTGGGCTTCTACTGTACCCCTAAACCCTCTTAAGCCCTAAACCCTCAACCCTCTTAAACCTTAAACCCTAAACCCTCTTAAACCCTAAACCCTCAACCCTCTTAAACCCTAGCCCTAAACACCGAACCCATGAAAACTCGATCCAAATCCGATGTATTGCTCTCCTCCAGCTCCATCACGCACACGTCGGAGGAAAGCCGCCTCGCCTTGCCCGGTGGCACCGTACCTCCCAGGGATCCCTTATGGGTTCGTTTTAACCCCAAGGGTCCAAAGGACCCAATAATTAGGTACTCTGTTTTAGGATAGTAGTTCTGTAGGCTACTATTTTGGAGAGTATATGATTATTAGGTACTTGGAACCTTGGGGTCAACCCTAATTCCTGAATCCCAAACCCTAAATCCTGAATCCTACACCCTAAATCCTAAAACCAAGGATCCCTTGTAGGAGCCCTTTTAAAGAACCCTTGTAGGATCGATCCCTTCTGGGGTGGCACCGTACCTGCTTCTGGGGTGGCGGGCATGGGGGTGCCGGTCCCAGAGTTGAAGGGTTGAATAATTTCGCGAGCACGGTTTAGGGGTTCAGGGTTTAGGGTTTTAGGGTTTAGGGTTTTAGGGTTTTAGGGTTTAGGGTTTAGGGTTTAGGGTTTTAGGGTTTAGGGTTTAGGGTTTGTTTAACACTAACCCCGCCCCCCCCCCCCCCGCCTCCCAACAAACAAAAACTACTCTAATCCATTAAGACCCCTAAGTTGGATAAAGGTTCCGAACCCCAGATACCCGGTTGTGTTTGAGACTTATATATGCTTTAAGATCCCTAAACACTAAACACTCAACCAGATTCATGGCTTTGGGGCTTTCGGGTGCAGATTGCCTTGCTCAGCTGCGGCTGCCCACGCAGAGCAGATCCGCTCCAGGTCCAAATCCTTGCCACACAGTACCATGTCAGTCAACGTGTAAAGTGTAGGTCATGGGTCCGGGTTATTTGGTTTTGAGTTATGGGTTTAGGGTTTCCCTTTAATGTTCTAGGGTTGAGGGCTTAGCCATTCTTGAAGGTTGACTAGGGTGTTATCAGGGGCGTATCAAGATTGCTCATAAGTGATAAACCCGAAAGGGTATACGTTCTATATACAATAGAGCTGTACATGCTAAATACACGCACATCATATGTACTTCGTTGTAGTTCCATTTCCTGAGCTTCTTTAAGTGATAACATATGTAGCTTGCGCAGCAGCATTCAAGTGACAAGATCTGTAAATAAACCCTGAACCCTACGCCTTGAACCGTAAACCCCTAAACCCTAAACCCCTGAACCCCTAAACCCTAAACCTCTAAACTCCTAAACCCCTTAACCTAAACTCCTAAACCCCAAACACCCTCCAAGCTCCCCCCGAGGCCCCTAAGCCCTAAACCCCTGAACCCCTACGTAAACCTAGGGTTTAGGGTTTAGGGTTTAGGTAAACTCCTAAACCCTCCGAACCCTCCAAACTCCCTCCGAGGCCCCTGACATCTGCGAGGCAGAGGGCGTCGCAGCGCTGCCTGCCCTCTGCCTCAGCCTCAAGCGGCTTGGAAGGTTGGGGATTTAGGGTGTAGGATTTAGGGTTGAGGGTACTAAGGATTTCGGATTTAGGAATTTAGGGTTTAGGAAACAGTTTAAGAATTTTCAGTTTGGGAATTTAGGCTTTACGGTATGGGTTTCTGTGATGTGAACCCTGTTACGGGCACTCTGAGTGCTACTTCCTAAGGACTTAAGGGCATAAGGATAACGATGTTCCAACTTTCTGGCTTTTACTGTAACTCATGTCATGCTGAGACCCTAAACGCTAAACCCTAAACCCTGCATACCAGGGATCCTACCATGGTTTAGGGTCTATACCTGATTTTCTTAAGGAAGATACCTTAATCATGTCAATGTGAGGTCTATTCCCTAAGGGATTTTGGAAGCTCCGAACCGCACCTGGCTGGCCCAGGTTTTGATCACATCCTGCGCAACCCGAAGAGTCGTCTAGGGTTTAAGTTTAGGGTTTAGGGTTTAGGGTTTGGGCTTAGGGTTTGGGGTTTCGAGTTGAGGGTTCAAGGTTCCACAAGCTTTGGGACTCGCATCAAGGACTGCTCGACAGACTCCACTGAGTTTGCGCATTTATCAGGGGCTGAGGCTTTACGGTTCCAAGCCTCTCTTGCAGCAACCTGCCGGCAGCAACAGTTCCCTAGGATGCGCAGTAACCTAGGAATAAAAAGGGCTCCCTTTTTGGTATTGGGTAACTTTATAAGGAACCCAGGACTACGAAAAGGGAATAAGGGTTCTACTAGGCATCCTTGTTCCTCGGACTGGGACCGCAACGCTGAACCCGAAACTTAAATCCGAAACCTGTAAATCCTTAGCGCATGGAAATCGAAACACTCTTCCTCTCGCCCCTACAAGTCTGCACTTCCTACGACACTGAGACCCTTAACATAAACTGCTCTCACTGCGACATTGACATTGTCCCGGACAACACCTATAAGCGTGTGAAACCCCAACCTGGTACCCTTATCCGTCTTATTCCGCATAAAGGAACCCTTAAATGAAACGTATTAAACCCCTATCCTGGTACTCACCCGACCTCACATGAAGGAGCGTTAATCGCTTTAAGGACACCCAGAGCTCTCCTCTTCTTCCTCCCTCGTCTGATCCCGTATGAAGGAACCCGCTATGTAACGTACAGTCCCTACCCCAGTACTCTCATCCCTCATAGCGTACCTTGGGTTAGTAGGGAATGGAAGAATGGTAGTAATGGTAGTTATAGTTCTACCCCATTCCTCCATTCCCCCCTAACCAAAGGTAAGAAAAACCCTGAACCCTATACCCTTATAGATACCCTATAGAGCCTTTTAAAAGGGACCCTATGGCCCTATCAGGATAAAGGAAGCACAAAGCTCTCCTCTTCTTCCTCCTCGTCTTCCTGCTTGACCGGCTTCTTTGGCCGCACGACGCCCTGGCGCCGCATGGGCACCACCACCTTTTGCCGGGGGTGTGGGGGGTGGGGGGGCTTTAGGGTTTAGGGCTTAAGGTGTAGGGTTTAGAGTTTAGAGTGAGGGTGAGGGGGGTTAGATTTCGGGGTAGATCTCAGGGTAGGGTTGAGGAATTTGGGGTCTGGCATGAAGGTCTGGTGTTTAGGATTCAACAAGGGCTTTAGTCGTTGGTGCAGCCCTTCCCGCGGATGGCATCATAGATATGATGAAGCATGGTTGCGGCTGTTGCTAGTGGTTGTGGTATCAGCAGCAGAGCTGTTACCAGTATCATGAACGACTCTCATGCTTCTATCAGCATTCGCGCAAGGAGTTGCAGTCGTCGTCGAAGTAGCTCTTTCTGTAATGATTGCAGCTTGTACCGGGGCCCAGCCACCGAAAGGCCCATGAACTGAAGAATCTCAT